ACATCGGCTGGCCACCGCAAGTCATTGTATAGGCCATACACGCACTCATTACGCCACTACGACTCTGAATGAAAGTCGAATGCGGGGGCGCATCCCTCAGACGGGATTGATTAACGCCAAAAACTTTTGCTTTATCCTTTATCCTAGTCGAATGCGTGGCGTTTCCCAAAGACTGGATTGTTCGACGCCAGAGCGTTATCCTAAACTTTTCAATTCGAGTTATAGTAATTATTCTGGAATAGCATTACAAATAGCACGAGTAGTGGAGGTCCTATACGGATTTTCTGTATTGCTACCAACCCGAGGAAGAATGCGCATAAGCGTGTTTACCTAGAGGACTATCCAAAGATCTGTAATTCATAACTTACGAACATCTGTAGAATTTTGACAATGTGGTCTTAATTTTGTTTAAAACCCGGTTAATCTTTAATTGGTGGGAGAGTCCTATAAAATGTCTTTTTTGTCGCTACCGTACTCTTAAGTCGGCGATTATCGTAAATTATTTCGTAAAAGCCAGCCAATCGCCAAGGAGGCACTGCTCTCTGCGAATCATTTTGGTGATCTGAATCGACCCGAATTCAAAGTCGGGTCGATTCAGATCATTAGCATGATTCACATCATTTTTCCGCTGCTCTTCAAAAGCAGGACATTACGGCTCAGTAATGTATGCGCTGTAATATATGCACGTTTAACGTTTATAGTGATTAAATTCATGTTTATTGGTCAAAATAATGTAATCTCCCGCTTATTCACTTGTTTTGAAAAGTATCATGCGGTTCGAAAACACATGTTCAAAACAAAGAACTACACAGGTTAATGCATTAGGGAATAATTCAGGCTATTCGAAATAAAACAGGATTGATTTTGTTGGTTTCGTCCAATCCCTCGGGCGTTCTGTGGAATCGCGGGAATCATTGGAGTAGAGATTTCGGGTAGTGAGTAGAGCATACAAATGGTATCAGCCCTTCTTAAAATACCTTTATCTATACCTAACTGAGTCCACTCGGACTTTCATTGAAGTTCCT